ACAGAAATTGAAGCTGCAGACTAAAAACTTATGAAGTACATGGCTTATTCACTGCTTTCCTTCTTGGCTCTCTTCCCAAAAGCTACATAGTATTAACTGAAACAGCATTGTGTCAAATGGCTACTTTTTAATTTTTACTTTAAGTAAATGAGAAGGGAACCATAGTTCAAAACACAGCACAACCAAATATTCAAAACAATTGTTGATCCCATTAGAATTTTACAAGAGAAAACGAGGACACAGACAAGGTCAGTCTACAAACTTAACTGGGTCAGCCAGTGATGTTTGTGCATCCAAGTTAACTATAGAAAATAACTTTTTATATAAAATTTATTATCATACTGCATGAAACATATGGAAATATTAGTTACCCAAGAATTTATTTCCTCTCCCATCATTTTTTTTCTTTTTTGTTTCAAATAATGGAAATAAAAAATAAGGAAAAAATCCTTCTAAATCTCATGGAATCAGGTACTTAAATATGTTTGCAGAAAGCACCCAGAGAGTTTACATAGACAGGAGATGCCAGTGATGCTTGCAGAATTGTGCCTTTCTCCTTTATTCTGCAACTGACCCACAGACAGACAGTCACAATCTTCTTGTACACTTTCCAGATTAAACACTCTTAAGTGTTCCAGAACACTTTACTCTCAAACAATATGAAGTTTTAAGTTTTCTTTCCCCCAGATTTATGCTGTTTGTCATCTTCATTTTCTTAAAACCACCTTTTAGATATGCTTTTCTAAATTTCATTTTGACAATTTTTTATATTTTTTTTTTTACTTGTTGGTTATATCAATTAATGTGGCTTTTCAATGTATATTCTTTATTAATATCTTCAAAGACATAATTACTGTTTGTCTTGTTCTGGACACTAACTTGTAATTTGTAGTCTCTTGAATGATTTGGCAGGAGAAAGACTATACAGCACAAACAGGTTAATACAGATTTCTGCTAGTGGGGATGTCTTGGTTTGAGCCAGGATGAAGCAAATTTTCTTTATACTGTGGTGTTGTGTTTTTTTTTCCTTCAGTGAGGTCTCTTTTTAAGTAGCAGCAAGTTTTCCAGCTAGTAGACTGATAATGCTGGAATGTTTATGTTACTGCTAAGACATCAAGCACGCTTCATGCTGCAGTCTTAGATGCTAGAGGAGCAACCCTCCCGCCCCTTAGGGAGGAGTGGACTAGATGGACAGCATAAACCAGAGGAACAGAAAAGTAAACTCCTTTAAGTGGGTATTACAAGGAATTTCAGAATCAGGAGAAAACTATATACTGTCTCACATTTTTCCCTTTCATCATATATGTTAAGAGATACCTACAAATGAAAGAACTTTCATAGCATCTCAAGTTCCTAGACATAATCAGTAACAATGCTTTAATGATGTTAAAAACATCTCAATATTAAAGGTAAATAATTTATGAAATGAGATACCTGTGAATAAGAGTTTAAAATATGAGTCTGAATTTCATCCATTGTGTCTGTTCCATAGGACACAGTACCTAGATGGAGGCGTTTAAATATCATCTCATTCTGTGTAAGTGTTCCTGTAATAAAAAAGTAGTATATCACAAAGCAGCAAAAAATACCATTGAGAAGGTCACAAAAAAATCCCAAAATCTATCTTTTGGAAAGAAGGAATTAATTATGAGTTAGCAACATTTTAGTTAATTAAAAGAATGTTTGTGGAGAAAGATCATGGCTAGTCATACTGGAAGAAATCACTGGTTCCAACTTGAAGCTGATTCTGCCAACACAACTAAATATATAAGCTCGAAACACAGAAAAACTTTTCATACGAAAAATAAGAAATGCAGTAACTGGATGGAAATGACTCTGAAAAACCAATGCAAGAGTTTGAACCACGTGTCAGAAAAGGTAAAGAAAAAACAAAACAAACAAAAAACCAACCCCAAACCAAAAATTAAAAATATATCCTGCACTTCATATACAAAGGCAGAAACTCTGGCAAATGGGCACTTTCAATGTTATCTTGAGGAAGTCCTTCAAACTTCACATTACTTACAAATTTGCCAGATTTGCTACTCCAACTGGAATGAGGCAGAATGAACAAAATCAGTGTTTTCAGAGCCCACTTCACATTTGTAAGAAACTACAGGGTCCAATTCTAGTCACATCCTCTGGTTTGGAAAAGCTCTAATTGAGGGGTGGGAGCTTCAATCTTCCTTGATGGGGCACATCAGGCAAAATATGGTCATTACTGCCTAGCTGCCCATGGTCAGCTCAAAAAGATCATTTTGACAATTTCTATGGTTACTCAAAGTGAAATTAATAGAGTACAAAGCTATCCCTTTATTAAACCACACATTTTTGTGTCATTAAAATACATAAATCTGATTATAAGAAAATTAAACACAAAATGATACAAAAAATGACATTCCTGAAGCTTGTACAATAATTTTATTACAAAATACATTACAATTTCATATTAAAATTTGGAGAATAAAATTTTATAGTACATTTACTTCTTTAGGCTCTTTTTATATCATGTCTTTGACCCAGTGTGTCAAAACACACAGCAAGCCACAGGAAGAGGGAAGACTAAAAGCATGACATATGCTATAATTACTATCTGGAAACGAGAACTGTTTGGACAGTTGGTATCCAGTTTGTGCATCTAATAAAGCTTGAACCATCAGCGATCGTCAAAGATTCAGTAGGGCTGTAAAAGTCTCATGTCTTTCTCAGTTACATTTGAGACGCCTACCACTCCTCTTCCCCGGTAATATATGCATAGTGACACTTCATCTCAATTGTACCATCATACTGCATTATCAAACCATGTCTTCCTGTATTACCAGCACTAGATGACCATTCTAAATTCCCCCCTTACCATTAAAAAATGACATCTCCCATTTGCTTTCCCTTACATGATATCCTTACAGGATTTTTTTTCCCCCTATAGTCATATTATTTGACTTAAAACACCCAAAACGTTTTAAAAGAGGTTTATGTGAAATGCATAAATTCCCCATAAATAAGCATAACATTATACAAAATTCACACAAGAAGTAGAATATTCCCAAGGCTGGAAAACAGCCCAGATAGACAAAGTTCCTGATCTCAAGAATTAGCAAGTCAGAAATTTTTTGTTACTTTTATACAAGGGATAAGAAGATTGTTTTGCTTTTACAGTAATCATATGAGACCATAAGAAATCAGCACTTCTGCCTTTAGAAACTTTTGCCTTTTACTGAGACTTTTTGTTATATTTGTTGATTAAATTTTTTACTTTAATTGTAGACTAGAAAAACCCAGTCTCCAGTTGGTTTGTGAAAAACATGGAAGTTTCCACTAACAACCATGAGAGACAAAAATCTCCATTTCTAAAAAAATCAAAACAAAACCCGCTCACTTTTTTCAATAATGTTTACTGCAAGAAATTTCCACGTAATTCTGCATCAGCTTCCTTACTTTACAGGCATGCTACTATCTTCTCACTGCCCTTAGCTTTGCCAAGCCCTTGAATTAAAATAAACACTCCCAAGGAGTTGTGAAACTAAATGCTACTCAAAACTTGAGACAGCAGTGTCAAAGCCACTTCCCAATAGTTCTGTAACTGCTGCTTGGGAAAACTTGAGCAGAAAACAAAATTAGCCCAATTATTATTATATGGAAAAATTATTTCTTCTGATGCCATTACATCCGTCCAACTCCAAATCACACTTAGTGAGGGAAAGGTGGACAGGTGGAAAAATCATGGGTTCCCCCCCACAACCCCTTCTCAGCAAGCAAAGAATAAAAGCCTCTGAGCAGAAAAATACAGATTTCCCTATCTTACAACAATCAGAAGCCAGGGAAGCAGGTATAGGAAAAACGGGCAAGGAAGAAGAATCAACTTGTAAAGACAGAAATAAACAGTCTGGGAATCCTGATTCAATACTTGAACCTTCTATGTTACTTCTATGATCCTTTTTATCAGCTGCAGTAACAGGAAATACCTATGACAGGAAAAGAGGCTGCAAAAACACCTGTATCTGCTACACAAAACTGTAATAGAAAAGAAAAACAAAGAAAAGAAACAACAATTACAGTTTGCTCATGCTTCTTAAGTCCAGTGTATGGTTGTCAACAACAGTCACAATAAACCTGACATGTTGTTAGACAAACCTACATAGCTGTATTTATGAAAGTGCTCCAAAAACTTCTGCAAAAAATAAAATAAAATGCACATTTTGCAGTCATCCACATGGAAGTTTCACCATGCATGCAAATTAAGAATTTACTTCTAAACTCTCCTAATGAATGAAACATCAAAATGGGACAGAAATATTCCCAAAACTTGTTCCAAATATTACATGCTGCCAATCAGTCACTTTATAACCCTAGCAGGAGTTGTCTTAAATTTTAGTCTTTTAGTTGAAGGCTAATACACTTTGACAAAACAACACATCTTTTACATTATGCCTCAAAATACATGTATTTCAAATATCCAGAGGCAGATTTGCTAATACATCCCACTTCAGGAATGAAAACCCAGAACTGAGTCTTGTCAAGGTGGTAAGTATTAAAACACAGTAAAAGAGCTTTCTATTTTTAATAGTACTTTTTTTCAAGACCTACTTATCAATTCCACGCTTTCAGAACACTGCTAATATGAAGATTTATTAGATTAAAAAAGCTTATTCTAGAAAAGTTTCTACAAACTATGCTTGTCAAGATATGATCTACTACTACAATTATACATTCTTAAACTTTGCTCTAGAATACTGGTACAACACAAGGAAAATATTGTGACAAAAAGTTAGTACACAATTGCTGAAGAAAAATTTAGTATGCTCTTCAATGAAGCCAAGAGCCTTTTTTTTTTTTCTGTTGCCTACAATTGTATCATTAAACACAGAGTAAAGCAGGCAAAGAGGAAATTAATTTCTAAGGAAAAGTCCTGAAGGCATCATTCCCTGGGTGGCAACAGATGTGATTCACAACAGAGCAGTAGAGGTTTTTTATTTTGCTTTTGAGAAGCAGATGCATTTCTTTCTGATCCTATATTACTAGATGGTAATTTGGACCAATACCAACAACCTAAAAAGGCCAAAAAAACCCAGGAAGAAAAATGTGAAGCGGAAGAATTAATAACGTTGTGAGAAAACAAGAGGCCTCAGTAACTTTCTATAAAATATGAGTGCTTCGAGCTATTTGCTTAAGAAGATAAAAAACCAGTGTAAATACGAACATTTTATGGAAACTTTAAGGGCGATCGGGCCCAAAGCTTTTAGTAATTAGACTGTTGGAAAAAATCTAGAGATGCAAATTCTTTCTGTGAACCCTGGAACAAAATATTACCCAGTATGGAATGCAAAAAAAACACAAAAAACCTCATGGTAAAGATATATAGAATATGTCTGCTCACTCACCTGCTTCATTTATGAACAAAAACAAAAACTCAAACCAAATACCATTACAACTAATTAAGAATGATGGCAAAGACATAAAGATACATTAATTCTTTGCTGGGCAGAAGGTAACAGTAGAGGTAACAGTTAACACAGAGATGAATAGCAGTAGCTATTCCCTGTGCACCTCCTGCCTCTCACAAGAACGGTAACAATGTCTAAGAGTGACAGCCATACTCATTAGGTACACACTGTATTTTCAGTCGATGGAAGTCCAACAGAAGCCAGAAAGTAAGGATTCCTTTGGCTGATCGACTCTGAATGCATGTCTGGGTGCTTCCTGTAAGATCTCTCCATAAAACCTTTCCATTCCTAGCCTTCTTTCCTCACTCTGCAACTTTAGTACTACTGAAATCATAGAGGCAGAGGAAGTGCAAGGACAACAGCATGAATATCCACCAAAATTAAGTTATTCCATCAGCATATTTTTAAATTGCTCTCTCTGTGATAGCTTACGTTGAACGGATAAAGACTCAATTAAAGTATACCTTAAAAGATTAATTTTCAGAAACAATTACTGACATTCATTGTTCTAAAACTACATCACACCAGACACATTTAATGAAAAAGCCCATATAAACCAACCTCTAGCACAAGGCCTTCCCAGAAAATCAAGAATCCCATTGCTCTATGCACGTGTTCAACTGCTGTATCTGTTAAGTATCTAATTCGGTCCAAACACCCACTAAAACGTTAATTACAGAACTCAAATACAAGAGTATGCATCAGTAAATAAGTGCACTTGGAAGACTGCGTTTGTTTTATCTGAATACTATGGTTGTTGTCATAAACAGCAGAAGGTTTGCCATCCCACTTCCTAAGCAACCAAAAAATTCAATAAATACTGCCAGATTTCTTTAGTTTTCTTTCATTAATAGAATCTTTTTGTAGCCTGGAGAGCATGGGATATCATGCTCAGCTGCCCTTGGAAAATGCTGGAAACCACCCTCCCTGGACTCCCCCCCCCAATAACTGACAACGCCTTTCTGTCAAACGTATGTGATTCAAGTCCAAACAACATGGCATTTTGGGTAATGGATGCTATAATTAAAACGTGAGTCCTAAAAAACCTGTTGTTTCAGAGGGTGTTTTTAGTAATGGCTTTGTTCTACATGAAGATAAAAACTCCCTAACAAAGGAATTAATGTATTGCTTTAATAGGCTGCACCCTGAGTTAAGTTTTAAAATTTATGAGTTCTCTGCAGCATTGTTCTTTAAACAATGGCATTGTCAAATGCAACCAGTGAGAAGATTAAAGTTCTCCCAGCAGATTAAGTACATATTATCTGTCCTCCTGTTTCAGCATCATTTGTTCATTTATCACATAATGTCTAGTATTTCTGGTCAGTGTCAATATGCTCTGCATCCTTGCAGTTAACAGATGTCTTCTCTTGTCGAACGAATTACTTTATGTTTCACGCACTGGTGGCCGCAGATGTGTCACTATAGCAACATCATTAATTTCAGATCTTACCGGAAACATGCACTCCAATCAAACCTAATTATACGACATTGCTTTCTTGTCCCACAATAAGGAAACTATAATGCAATTACTGGGATACTTCATTTTCTATTCTGCTGTGGCAAATGAGAGCGCCACTGTGATGGACGCTTCTTGTCAAAAAGCTTATTGATGAAGCACAAACCCAATTTACAATCATACAAAGAACTACCTTGCAATTATGTTAGCAATGCAACGCTCCTTAGATTCAACAATTATTTCCAGTGAAGCTTGGACTATAATATAAGATTTTTGCAGACAGTTCTTTGGATCCTTTTCATTTTCAATACTGAGGAAAACTTCACCTGTTTACATTTATCTAGAGCAGCCAAGCCCTTAAGTAGGCAGAAGAATAGAACCAACTGGTTTACATGACTAGAGCTGAAAATTCAGAGTACTGAAGCTAGCTCTCATGAACATCATGCAGTGCAATCATGGATTAACTGTACAGATTCTGTTCATTACTTAACAGTATGTTTCACATTTACAATAAAATACAAAATGAGACCAAATGTATTCAGGATAGGGAACTGGCAGCTGCTACTGATATACTTCGCTACATGTCTGCCCAGCATCTAAAATAGTTTAAAAGTTACAAGGCATTCAAGACTAATAAAATTGAGCAGTGATTCCCATTGGGATCTGAAGACTGTGGTCTGCATGGGCAGCCAGTGTTCCGAAGCTGGTGAGGTCTGCTGGGCTCCAGGCTTACCTTCACTTACATCAGCTTTCAGCTAACACTTGGATAAAAGTTCAGTGGGTGAGACTACGGACTGATAGTGCAAATAGTTTTGGAACTACTGTACCAGAACACTGTTTTATTTTCATTTTTACATCATTAATTTACAGATTCAGACCTTCCTTACGTGTACATAAACACATTCGCCAGTAAAAGCCATTTGAGTATTAAACCCCTTTAAAATAAGCACCAAAAAATCAAAACTATGCACCAAAACCAAACAACTAATAGAAACAAAACAGCTGCTTTTCTTTGCATATACAAGTTGATAAAATGTATCTTTTCAAAGCTTTATAGATGTAAAGCAATATTTTTGTTTCAAAAAATCCAGTATCAATTAATTTTATGTTGTAAAAAAAATTAAAGGAGAAAAACTTTGTTTTTAACTACTGTTGTATTAGTTTATATGTATCTGCTGTCCTTCTAGAAGTACAACTGCAGCAGCTTCCTCTTTTTTCTCCCAATAAACTTCTGTTCCTCGAACAGGATAGTAGATGCATACAGCTTGAGGAAAAGAAGATAGTACACTGATCCATGTGCCTCAGAACATAAACTAGTCACCAGGGTCAGAATATAATTCCTGCATTGTAGAGTGAATTGTTAGCATTTTATCTACCAAGATTCTTAAAATCTTCAGTGCAGTCCAAATGTAAGCAGAATGTCTCAACACTTGAATGGTATCTCAGGTTTGGTATAGGAAATGGATTCTCTATCAGAAAAGTTTAATAATGATACATTCTTTTTACTTACAAAGTAGTGCTTTAGGCAAATGAAATCTACTGCTCTGATTTGAAAATTCATTATTTTTAAACATACTTCCCTTTTTCTGCTGTAAATTACATATTTCAAGCCTTCAATGAGACCGCACTCTAAAAGTTACATAAATTATCATGATGAAGGGTGCAATTAACATCAATAAACAGTTTCAAATAGCATGCAAATCATTAGCTAACTGATATGAAACTATTTAAAAGAAGAATTGTTCACCTGCTTTGAAAAACTACCACACTATAATAAGCAATACACTTTTCTACATGCTAAGAAAGAAGGTGGCATTTTTCTGTGTTCTATGAAATAGAACAACAGCATTCAGAAGTGTACAGGATAACAAATGTACCTATAGAAAAAAAGTGGTTTGAAAATGTGACAATATACTAAATTTACATTTCATTTCAAAATATGCAGTAATGGAAGTGTTAAGCATGGGAGGAAACATGGAACTATTTCAAGCAGAAAGACATGTAAACTGTGTATTACACTTTCTGAACAGTATTAACAGCAGTCAACCCCTGGCCTCCCCCCAAACACTTTCTCACCATTTTGAATTGTATTTTACTTGAAAACACCAAAACATTTCTTCAGCTGTTCAATAAAAAATTTTCTCAATTCAGCTTCTTATAAAAATCTAGTATGTCTACCATAACTGATTTATTCAATCTCGGAAAGAATCAAGAAAGGAAAAGTAATGTATTAGCTGAAGAATTTAACTTATTAATTATGATATTTTCTGAAATAAACTTTAAAATTCCTTAAATACTTCTAGAAGTAAGAGCATTGTGAGACAGTAACAAGTTTCAGTCATAACAGCAGACAGCACAAGCTGCTACTTCTTCACACACTTACCTACCTCCTAATCCTGGTAAGGGCTGGGTTTTCCAGGATACCAGGCCAGGTACAGGTTACAGTGATGAAGGTAAAATCATACAGAACCTCTAGAACCGGTCTTTGTAACATAAAGAACAACTAACTTCATGGGGATTACAGGTAAGTTTGGAGGCTGATCCTACGACTTGTTCTGGAAATGACTTGCTCTCTCAAAGGCCACTGTTAACTGTTTACTATAATACAGTATTGCAGTAGAAATGAGGTGCAGAATAAGAAAGCATGCTGAGTGCTAATCCAGAGTCTTTTTAGAGTAAGATATGTCACTCGTGTTAATACTATCCTGTGTCCTGTAGCTATAGCAGGAGTGTCCCTGATGCAATAAATCACATTACTACCAAATACTGACTTTGACATTTTAGTAGCACCCTACCTAAGCCTATTTGCACTGGTACAAAGTCTTCAAGCATATGCTTAAAATTTTACTGAAAAATAAAAACCAGAAGTCTAACTCTGCTCTTACAGTAACATACTCAAATAGAGAATAAAGTTTAGAAATATTATAAAAAATGTATTTCAAAATTGTAACCTGATGTACCTGTTTTATCCGTTAGTAAATAAACTAACCGTCCCAATTCTTCTGGTATGGTGCTAGTTCGAACAACTGTTCCAGGAATGTTGCCATCTTTCATAATCATCCACCCATAGGCTGCCTTACCCATGTCCAAGTTCACACGTAAACTGCAAAGGAAATTTTTATCATAATTAGTGTGAATATTAGGCAAAGTGAAAGTTACAACCATAAAAACAAAACTAAAGCTCTTTTTAGGATACCTGAAAAACAAAAATTCTGAAGACTATAAGCAACAAAAATTTTGGAACACTTTTACTATGTGTTTCTAGAGTACATATCACACTAGAAATTTCAGGCTCCATCCCAGAGTTCTAGAAGCTACTACAATGCAAACAAATACAATACCATGTCTCCGGCATGGGGCAGACTGCAACACTTTGTGAAGATTCTTGACATAATTACATTGCTACACTTAAAGAGATGAGAATAGTGTATACACTTTATGAACTAGACAAGATCATTATTCGAGTCATAGTTGTTGCCTGTTAAAAAAATCCGAAACCCGTTTTCTTTATGATGTAGAAGTACAAATACTTCGGTACCTTTTCAAGTCACTATTTTTAAAAAGTTTAGGTTTTTTTTCTTTAGCAAAGCATAACTGTACTTGCCAACTTCTCTTTTCAAACACAACCAACCAACAATGTTGTTGTCCTTCCCAAAATGCAGTTACCGAGGCCATCTATTGCAAAAAGAGAGTAGTGACCAAGCAGTGAAATGTACCTCCAGCATGTGGGCTGGAGCTGCTCTGCCTGCAGCAATGTGGAACTTTTGGGTGTTAGAAACTGTAATTTGCAACAAGTTTTACTGATTATACATAGAAGGGCAAAATAAAACATCTTTTTTTTCCAGTTCACTTCTTGTCTGCATATGTATTTGTTAATATTTCCATATCTACATCAGACAAGAATTAATTGCACCTTGTATTCCCATGTTGTATTAAAAAAAGTCTTCACTCATGCTGGTCAGATGTTGGGGCCCTGGCTGTGCTGAAAGATTATGAGAAACTTTAGACTAAACATCAGGCAGCCGGAGGAACAGGGAAGGTTGTTCTCATGGGAACTAGTGAGGCTTTGCTATGTAGATTCAGGTAGTAAGGTAAACAGGACAGGGAGTCAGATAAAGGGCTTAAAGTAGTGACCAATCAAAAGGGGATTGGGGATGCGTGAACAATGTATATTAACCAATTAAGAGCTTTACTTTGCTGGATGGACAGCCTGCACACTGTCCTGAGATTATATAATCTGCACGCAGCTAAATAAACTTGGACTGAACTAACATCACATTGGTGTGCAGTATTCATTCCCGGCTCGCCAAGGATATGGACCACGGCAGTCAGAGATAACGTTAATCACATTGCTCTGGCCCAAGTTATATGTTCCAACTGAGAACTCCATGCAATCTTGTTCTAAAACTTTAAAATGCTACTTTCCATTCAGATTTATTTCTAAGTACCACGTTCCTGCTATCATGTCAGAGGAATGGTAACTAAGAAACAGGCACATGTTCATTTCTGTTGACTCTGCTTTAACAGAAATACAGACAAAACAGCTAGGAACATGGCTACATGAACTACCTGTGGCTAATTCACCCAGGGCACAGGACTTAGTCCCAAGTTCAGTAACAGGTTTACAGTAACATGACTCCTAAAACTGTTGAAAAGTATATATCAAGGTCGAAACACTGCACTTCAAATCTTTTGTAAGAGAAGTGCTGCTTTACAGCATAACCAAAACAGCAGTCATGAAGTTTTCACCTATCCACTTGCAATTACAGCAAGAGAGTGATTGTGAATTACCTGAGGCAACAGTGGAAGAAACAGTGAGTCACAAACTGCAATATCCCATACAGAGATGCATTTAACTAGAAATATGAGAAGATCGAAGTCTCAACACAATGAAAAAATTCAGTTTATTCTATATCCTCTCCAGCAAAAGACAACGCATGTTCCAGCACAAAAACACACAACAGACAGAGCACTCTACCAGGTTATTTTTCTTAAAAATGTTACAGTATAACAAGGAGAATATATTGGAAGTTACTTGCCTTACTGGCTAAATACAGTTTTACTCAATCCAGAAGCAGTACTGAGCAACCAGTACTTGCATTATGTACATGTTCTAACTTGCACAGTTAGAAAAAATGTAAGAAACAATATATCACACTTCACACCAAAATACATATTAGTCAACAGAAGAAACAGCAAAAGATTTACACTTCTTAAGGACAACCTGCTAGTTAGCCAGTTAAGTACAAAGGATGCTGTCTAGCTTGAGAGGAGAAAGAGAAGCACACTTATGTTACTTCAGAACAGCTAGACATCTGCTTTAGCTAGGAGTAAGTGGAGTTAAGTGAAGGATGAAAGCCACTCATCACCCCACTTCAATGAGGCATTTGGCTATAAACACATTTTTTTCTGCCTGGCCTACTGGAGCAGGAATTCTACAATAAAAGCTATTTAAGAGCTCCAATCTCAGGTACCTGGCACACAAAGAGAGAAATCCACATGGCTGCTCTACCAATGGAGACCTACAAAGTCATCCAGAGAGAAGAAAATGCATCCATAAGGTTAAATCAGAAAAGTCACTCAAAGCTTAAGTACACTTAATATTTTTACTTACATCTTCTATAAGCATGTGTATTACCTGGTTTAGATATTCTGAACACTTTCTACATGCTTTTAATTGTAATCTCAAATATGATTTAAAGGTAAGGAGGAATAAAAAACAACCCAGCTTCTCCTGCTGACCGTTGAGAAGAAATTCGTACTTCAAAGCACTAAGGCACTTTAGAAGTTACCCTAGCTTTCCAGCATGCACTGCTGAATGGATCAGTGTACTCCTTCACGCTGATGCAACTAACAGAACACTGACACTACCGATCTCCAGAGAAGTAACATCTCCCCAGTGATTAGTACAGTCCAAGACAGCTTTCTGGAACACAGAGATACAGTAGGTACATGCTTGAATTGTTAAGATGAATAAAGAATTAAACAGAAATAAACCAAAATAAAAGAGGGTTATAGATGAATTGTTAGTATTAATTCTAAACTTTGTACATTTCATCCTGCTCTGACTTCCTTCACTTGGTGCTTGCGTCTTAAGAGGAAATTTTTGCCTTTGAAATCATGGTAGTTATCAGCTAGCACATTCTGGGCACTGCCGTAACACTAAAAATGATCGCAGTTTATCAACACTGAGTTTGCTTTCAAAATAGAATCTCTCCAATAGAGCTTCACAGGAATAGATGGAGATACTTGACTGAAAAGTCTAAGAATTTTTACACACACAAAAAAGGATACTAAGCTTACCGAACACCAAACCACTTTCAGTGCCTCAGAACACTACCATTTGTCATAAATCCTTCGCATATTTTATGAAGCCTCATTTTATAACAAAAAAAAAATAATTAAACTCACCAGATTTTAAATCCTTCTCAATTTCATTCATCATTAAAAGACATCTAAATCATTACTGGAAATGTACAGAACAGCCTATGTAGCATCAACACACTGCTGCATCAGTCACACTGATTTCAGCAACCCAATTAACATGCAATCTTTAGACACAGTATGTTAATACAGGTATCTGAAGGCTGTTGCAGAGAACGGGAATATTGAGTGAGTGTAACAGGGTAGAGTTTCTTGTCTCTCAACCTCAGGACTAGTTGTTACTCTAGAGCAGGCAAACCCAAGGCAACTTTTATCCAACTTAAGTATTTATTCCATTGAGAGGCATTCCTCTACAATTAAGCTTCAGAACGAAACAGTAACAGTATTTTAGAATCCACACCGCTTTTTACTACAAGTTCAAACCAAATACTTTTGCTTTTATTCCCTCAAAAACATCAGTAGTGGTTTAGGTTAAGCAAACTCATATTTACAGGACTTCTAGATTTTATTTTTTCCCAACGGGTAATGACATTAGGTCCCCTTGTAAAGATTTCTGATTGATTTTGTTTGTTTGTTTGTTTTTGCTAAAATGAACAAATTTGGTAATAAGCAAGGGCCTTCATTGAGAAAGTTACAGACAAATACATTTAGAAACTCCAGAAACATCCTGCATTTCACGACTCAGTGAAAAGCAATCAAGACCTAATGAAGTTAGCAAAGACTATTTTATAAACAAAGTGATTCTGTGCCTAATAAAAATCAAGTATGAATTTAAATCAAAATTGTACAATAATTTTGTTTGAGCTGCGGTGGGCAGGAAAAACTTCCTGAGCAGTTCTCTATGCAAGCAGAAATTTCACAGCAAAAAACAAAGCTCTGTTAAAACTCCAGATAGAGTATGAGTACCCATACTGGTAACCAATTTTTAAACTAAAGCAGTAATTGAGATGTAGCCTTTTTCTTTTCAGGACTTCTTTCTAACTGAAATACTGAATAGCATATTTGGGTCACATTACTATCCAAAATAGTATCCAATCCCTTATGGCTATACCCCCTAACTCTCTCATATGGCTGCTCAAAACAGCCATAAACTATACACACACATACACATTATTTACAATCTAGAAAACAAAAAGGAATAATTTAAAAATTACTGGTCAAGAAACAACCAGAAGTGTTTTAATTTCAACATGCCTAGAAAGCTGTATCTTCAGAGAAAGCAATTTTTGGAGCCTATAACTCCTATTAATTGGGACTAACAAAGAAAAATAGAACAGAAGTTACTTCTTTGAAACACAATATTCTACCAAAATCCAAATTAAAAAAGAAACACAAACAACCCATAGCATAACCCTCTAATTTCCCCTAATTCGATTCTCTCATATTTAATCTGGGGAGGAAATTTGTATTCCTTTTTTGTTTTGACCACTATATACATATTTATTTAGTTTTCTCTGCTGTCTGTCTGATTCTCCTGAGAAGAGCCTCTGTGCTCTTTATGCTTCAGAATTGGTCTCACTAGTTCTCTTGGACTATTTTTTCTAGATTTTTGTCTATTACAGAAGCATAGAAAGGAAATTAAAGCAGGTACACATAGCACTTTACACAAAACACAGGCAACGAATGCAACTTTCAAAGATAACTCAGTTCTACAGGTTTATGCTGTAGAAAATAAAAAGATGTGTGGCAAAAAAAAATGTGCATCAACCCTGCATTGCT